CATTATATTAATAGTATTATCTTGAATAAACATACCGTGACTCTAAAATAAAAGTTATTCATTTGTGACATTGACTTCTGTCTTGTGATTTATCTTAAGTTTTTAACCTGTTTTTTTAGATTTAGTTTTTTTAGGTTTAATTTTAAAAGAATGTGCAGGAAGGATTGAAAAGCATGTTAACACGGTAATGTAGGCTTGAGTTCATTATCAAACTTAAAAAATACTGAATTACAAAAAACATTTAAAAAACAAACATGTTTCATTGTTAAATATAATAAAATGAATATAAGGAACTCTATTTATCAAACATTATACAGGGCAAGTAAAAATTGTTTCGGTCAAATTAAATGTGAAAGTTACTTGCCCTAAATCCTTAACGTCAACCCCTGGTCATATGCAAACATGGAGGAAAAATCTCCTTTCTTATCTGTCAAAATCGACCATTATTGAAGTTTTAGGATGATATTTTCCAGCCTGGAGTTTTAGTTTTTTTTGTATTTTTTTTTTTAACATGGAGCCTCTGGCCAGACTTTAGATTATAAAGCTCTGCAGCTTTATCAGAGCAACTTCACTGCAACTCGTTAAGAAAACTCTATGGAAGCTGTGAGTCAGCACACAGAAATGAGATTCAAGCGAGGAAGCAGCAGCAGCTTCTGCAGGGATCCTAAAACCTGTGATGAAGCACAATCAAACCCTGCAGAGTAAATGAGCAGCACTGACAGACGCTCTGCAGCCGTTACACCAACAGATGAAATAACATGATGACACTCAGCATTCCTCAGAGAACAAGCAGCAGCACACTTTGGCTTTAGAGTCTGATGAATCTGGACTAAACCAGCAAATAGAACGGAGCTCAGAGCCTACCTGAGGAAATCCTTCAGAGCAGGCAGATCGTAACCTGGTAGATGGATGATAATTGGATCTTTATTGGTCTGTCCTTGGAGGATATGTGGAGCTCTGGCCAGCAGCACGGCCCTGTGAGCTCGGACCGATCCTGAACCCGCATAGAGGGAAACATCTGCCTCCAGTTCCTCCTGCAGCAGCCTGGAGAAACACAGAACAAATGATTTTCCTCAGACTTGGATATCAAAGCACAAACAACTCTTAATAAACAAACAAAGCAGAGTTCCTGCATTCTTTTCTCTATTTCCATATTTTATAAGGCTTAGATATCCAGACTTGGCTTTCTATTTACCCTTTTAAAAGACTAATAAAAACTTTCCCTATAAAATCAGAGCAAAGATGTAAAAACTTTAACTTGAATCCTAATCCATACTTTTCAAACTAGTCCCTGATAAAGATAAATCTGATGGCCTGTTTCTGTATCGCAGGACTTTGGAACATGAATCCTGAGGCGGTCCAGCTCCTCCATACCATCACCATATCTCATCCCGCCTCGCTGACTGAACTGGGTGACCCAGAAAGGGAGTCAGCGTGAGGCGAGTGTGCATTCATAGATCAAATGCTGGTGTCACATTTGTCCCATAACTCCGATCAAAGTGAGAGGAAAACTCTGACAGGCCAAAAGGACGACCCGCCTCCCAGAGACGCTCGCATCAATGTGACCTTTTCTTCTGGGAAACAGAACAGCAAAGAATAAACCTTGCATTTGTTCAATGGCCGTCCATGTTGTCATCATCACACCCTCACCTGTCACTGATTACTGAAAATGTCTGCAACTATCTTCAAACTTTTCTATTTTCATTCAGTTTTTCCACAGATGGGTTTTGCAGAAAATGTCAAATAGATAATATCAGATAAGAAACTAAATTATTATCAATGTTTGGAATTGAAGAGTTTCAAATAACAGAATATCATTGCTGAATACAAACACCATTATAGACCGAAATAAACATGGAGGCACCGTTTTCCTAATCTGCGTTAATCTGCATTTATTCTCACAAAAAGGTTTTAGTCTAATAAAAATTTCTTATCTTTTCATAGTTTTTTTTATTGTTAGAAATAGGAATTTTATTTTTTCCTCTATGTTCTGGTTGGAGGTTCAGAGGAGGAATGAATAGAGCTTAATATTCTGTCCAGCCAGACTGATCTGACGTATACATGGGATATCATTCTGATTAGGTGCTTTTAGAGTTGGATTTCAAGGCGGGACTAAGCCCCAGATCCCACATACTC